GATAATGCACGTAGCAACATTAGTTGTGCCGAGTTTTTCAAAAACAAAATTTATTCACCCTAAATTGAACTCAAAGGCCTTGCTATCTGAACAAACGATGCATCAGGTGTCATGCAGGTAAGAAATTTTTCTTTTTAGGAATACAGCTTGGTACTAATGTGGTGTATAAAGCCGAAACTTCATACGTACCAGTTGTGTACCAAGGTTGCTTCCAAATGTCGTCTGTTGGGCTTCTCTGCATTATGTATAACAATACAGGCTAAAGTGATGATGTCATCAGCCAAAAAGATATGGATATGTGTGCGCATTTTCTGTTTGCCCAAACTGTCTTTTATCCCTGTACTATTATTTTACGTGAAAATAGGAAATCTTGTGAGACACCAAAATTGAAAAAAATCGATTTTGCTGTCTCACATTTGAAATGGAGTACAAAAAGTTTTAGGATTTTCATGTGTGAATATAACCTTGAAAATAAACTTATTCAGCAAATCTCTCTGGAAGCTTTATGTAATATATATATACTACAAAAGATGCATTTTTGGTCTACAAGTTGCCAGATGTAGCTATTGTCTCAATCTCGGTATTAACTTGACTCACATCTATGTGAAAAATATGCTGTATTACATAATTTTCCATGGAAAAGTGTGAATTATTTGCAGTGTAGAATGTTTGTGTTTTGGGATAATATTCGCACTAGTTTAAAAAAACACTGCTTGGTAAAGTTCATTTTGAACAAAAATTTCAAAACACAAGGCTATGGCCTTGCTATTTGGGGTTATTTTCAAGTTGTTCTTTGATAATCAAACCATGAATGTCTTCATTTGGCTATTTGAAAAAGAAAAAGTACATTTTGGCCCTGAGATTGCACTGTAATATTGTACCCTCGTCATGATTAGGAATAATTTTTAATTGTTCAATCTGGGTGTTCTGGAAATATAAAGATCATTTTAAGGCTACAAATTCAAACCAATTCATTTGTGAAAGTTGAAATAAAATCCAAGAATACTGCTTTCAATTGTCTTATTGTTAGCCTTGTCATTTTTGAAAACTCAACAAGTACAAGACTATAGTCTTGTTATTAAAAAAAAACAGTGGGGGAAAGCAGAAAATTTTTGCCAATCTTCCAATTGCAAGACTATAGCCTTACAATTAAAAAACGTGAAAAAAAGGGGAAAAATTTGGACTATTTTCCAACGGGAAGACTATAGCCTTACAGTTTTTAAAAAAATGAAAAAAGGGACAAATTTGGACCATTTTTCAATTGCAGGACTATAGCCTTAGAATTTAAAAAACGTGAAAACAAGGGGGCAAATTTGCACCATTTTCAACAACAAGACTATAGCCTTAAGATTAAAAGTGAAAAAGGGACAAATTTGAACCATTTTGAAATTGCAAGACTATAACCTTTTGCTTTAAAAAAAGGGACAAATTTGGAATTTTTCAAATT